AGTTGAGCTACCCATGCGGGCATCTATTTATTTTTCTATCTTAACACTAAGATTGGTGATGAACTGTAAATTATAATTTTTCCAACCTTCCTATTATTTTTTTTCCTGAAAATGATATATAAAATTTTGTTTAAAAAATAAATATTTTATAAGTATATTTAATGACATAGCTACCTAATAAAAATAAAATATAACGCTATCTCAAACTCAAAATCTCTTGAAATAAGATGTTTGAGATCCTTTTGATATTTTTTTCTTTATTTCTAATTTATACTGTGTAGAATCTTTTCAATTTCTAATAGCTTCTTCAAATACAACATTTGAGGTTTTTGGCAGCTTCTTCATGAGCCATAAAACGATCAATCGCAGAACATGCAACTATAGAGAGCTATAAAAAATATGCTTTTTGGCACTCATCATTAACAATACCCTACAAAAGTTAACGAATTGATCTTTAAAAAAAATTAAATAAGCAACGCAAACTGCAAATAGTGATTAGATGTTTAGCAAGTTTAGATTTCAACCTGCTATCTATCAACGATTTTACAGTTATTTTTATAGTTCAATGTTTAATAAAATTTGGTCAGATTGAACCACAAGGATATGAACTATGACAAGTACCAAATATAATATATAAAAACACATAACATTCACATGAAAATAAGAAATTAAAATGTGATAGCCAAAGACTAGTAGACTACCTCTAATTACCTTTCAAACAAATTCTGAAAATGCTCCTGATACGTTTTCAAAGTGTCAACTCCAACTGCATGATCATTAAATTTACGCATTGATTCTTGAATAGTTGCTTCATATGCATTTTCCTTGCAACCTAAATTTTAAAATTTTAAAACTATCAAATTAAAGAATCCGTTGAATAAAACTCCACTTACCACTTTAAGACATGTAAAAGGCTTTTAAAAAGATATATAAAACTTAATAGCTTTAGATTAAGCTTTTGCACACCTTTCTTCCTTAACACTCTATCAAAGTTAGCAAAGCTCAGAGAGGATAAACATAACAAGACTGCAAGAAACGATTAGAGGTGGTCTAACATCTTGCCATTACTAAATGTGGTATTGATGCAGAGTAACACTAACCTTTCATTAAAATGTAATTGTGGGAACCACATAATTATCATTTGTAATGTTAAGTAAATATTGAGTAGCTTTTGCAAAATTAGGTCCAGTCATTCCCGTTGGACAAACTTTGTCAATTTGTTTGTTCACAAATATTTTCAAAGAGTCAAGACCTTTTATAAATTTTTGTCAAAGTTTATCCAGCTAAATGGGATAGAGGAAATAAAAAATAAAAAATAATATTATATAATATCGTAATTCAATTGCACACAAAAAAGTAACATTATATTTACATACATTTAACACGCCAAGCTTTTGCAAGTCGTCCTCATCTCTCAAAGGTCGCACAAGAGTAAAGTAGTGTTGTTGAGAAAATAAACACGAATAGAGCTCCTAATATGTAATGGTTAGCATCACGTTGTTGGAATATCTACAAAAAGGGAAAGATTTTAATACTAAATCAAAGAAATTAAGAAATCAACTTTTGATGTAGAGGATTTTTATATAGCATACCTCATTTCTAGAAGGTACATCATTCCAATCACTTTGAATATTATCTAATGTAAACTCTATGTATTTTCTTATCCTTAGGTAAGTCCAAGTGATTTATGGAAGACGTTAGAAGTTAGCAATGTGATCTACCTAAAAATATTTAACAAATATGAAATATATATATATATATATATATATATATATATATATATATATATATATATATATATATATATATATATATATATATAAAGGAAGGAAGAATTTATAATATATAAATATGAGAAGAAAATGATCAAATAGAGCCTTAAACTTTAATAGAAAAGTCAATTAGGTTTCTAAACTTTTTAAAGGTGTAATTAAACTCATCAACATATTATTTTGAAACATTAAACCCCAAAACTTATGAGTGAATGTAATAACAGGTCACTAGGGTTCCAACAGTCCTCCAGTGCTCTTTCGGCCAACTCCAACACTTTTTCTGGCAAACAGTCACCACTCGCCTTTGAATCAACAAAGAATACCCATTTTTGTCAACTTACAACTACAATGGACATCTAAATCCTTAGAATTAAAACAAACTCCATGTCTAATAATATAAATATCATGCCGCTACACATGATACCTTATATTGAATACCCCCATAGAACACATATTCTTGATGACAAGCAGTAGTATTCAAAAATTGTTTTCCAAACAAATAATAAATTTGAATGATAAGTACCTCCCTAGATGTGAAAGAAGTTTCACATGATCTACTATATGTTAAGAATACGTGTGGACGATATTCTATGTAGTTTATTAATCTGTTCTAAATATGTTCTTGTGCGTTAGTATCTGATTGCAACTCCTTGCTACTTCTCATCTTGTAAACACTATTTATACTCTGATTTTATTCATTAATATAGTACAATTCATTCCCTCACATGGTATCAAGAGCCATAATCTCCTAAGAAAGTTTTTTTTTTCTCCTTCCTTTTTCGACACTTCTATGTATCCATGGCTTCCCCATCTGCGTTACCTGGTGTTATTGCCACTGTGACCACCAATGAAATTGTCCAGCTCACTGTACCATTAAACTTCCCTATCAAACTCACCCCCACTAATTTCCCTGTTTGGAGATGCCAAGTCCAGTCTACACTAATTGGCTTTAATCTCTTGAGCTACATCGACAGTTCTGTCAACAAACCAGCCAAGTTTAATGATCCTGCACAAACTACTCCAAACCCGGCACATTTAACTTGGTATCGTTAGGACCAGATAATCACTAATGCTCTACTGGTGAGTTGTTCTGACACAATCCAACCCCTTATATCTTCCGCTACAACAGCTTATGATACCTGGCAACGGCTCGTTGCTAGCTATGCTAGTGCCTCTCGAGGACGGATCATTTCCCTCAAGGCCAAGCTCACCAAAAAACTCAAAGGGTGATCGGTCTGTTACCACTTTTCTGAATGACTGCGGTCCATACTGATGATCTCGCCTTGGCTCAGTGCCCAGTTTCTGATGACGACATGGTTGTTTACATCGTAACACAACTAGGAGATGAATATATAGTTCTATCATATCTCCTGTTTGTATCTGTGACACTCTCATTTCGTTGGGAGAGTTAGCCAACGTTCTCACGGATCATGAACGTCAATTGAAGGAAGCCGATGATGCCCACCAGTCTCTACTAGCTACTGCTAATGCCACCCAACATAGTTCCTTTACTTCTTGGAACAATCAACAGTCTACAACCAACTGGGGGTTCCGCAACAACAACAATGCCAACGGTAATAACATACAAAACTGGCCGCAAAGTGGCAACAACTGAACCGGTGTTGTGTGCTAGTTTTGTAATTTTGCTGCCATGAAACCGTGTTTGCCGTAAGTTAGCTGGATTTTTAAAGGAACATAACGTTTTTCCAATGCAGGCAAGTCCCTCTTATCAATCCCCTACAGCCAATTCCATAATAGGGTCGACTCCACCGTGGCTATTTGACAGTGGGGCTTCACACCATACCACCCCGAATATGACTCCTCTACATACCTTTACTGAGTACAAGGGTCCTGATGAAATACGTCTGGGTGACGGTAATTCTTTAAAATTTTCTCATATTGGTCAATCTACTATTCCCACTCCCTCCTCTGTGCTCACTCCCCAAAATGTCCTTCGTGTCCCACAGTTGCATAATAATTCAGTTTCCATATCTCAACTGTGCAAAACTAATCAAGTGTTAGTTGAGTTTTTTTATTCTCATTTTATCGTGAAGGATCTTCGAGCGGGGATGTCGCTACTACGGGGGCCGAACATTAATAGTGTCTACTATAGACCACTCTCGAGTCAGCCCACACTGAATTCCGTGCATCTGTCATGTGTGTTTCAGTGGCACCATCGACTTGGCCATCCGTCCAATAAGGTGTTACATCTTGTGTTGCAACACTGCAACATTCATATATTTATGTTATCATTAAATAAGTTTTACTATCAGTCATGCAATGTATACAAGAGTCATAAGTTACATTTCTACAAAAGCACTCTTGTTAGTACTAAGCCTCTGCAATTGATTTATACTGATATGGGATTAACAGACATAGGCCCTGTTTGGTAAAACTGTTAGCCTATAAGCCAATTTTGACTTATTTGATCACTATTAGTTGTTTGACTTGGTTAAAAATTAATATAAGTGTTTGGTTAATTAGCTTTTTGTAACTCCAAAAATGCTAAAATTCAAAAAACTGTTCCAAGCAGCTTTTTCAATTAGCTTTTTGAGAAAAAAAAATTTATATCAAAAAACTATCAGCTAACAACTAATTTACAAAACACATTTCTACAATCAACTAATGTTATCAACTAGTTATACCCTCTAATTAACCCAATCAGCTATCAGCTAACAGCCATTTACCAAACAAGGCCATAGCCGCCTATTGGAAAACATTAATAGAAAAGTGCTTTCAGCTTTTTATTTTTTCTCCTAATTTCGCAGAATAGACTACTTCTTGTCCGCATAACTCTCCATCTTGCAACGTGCGTGATCCTTTTTCTCCGCCTCTTTGCCCATGAACATAGTAATACAGATGAAAGTTGTTAGCTTTCTCCCGTATAAATACTTTGCCTCTAGACAGCAAACAACACGCCAAGCACAAACTTTCTTCTCTGCTATCATTTTTATAAGTCTGAGCTCTATTACTAGTTTGCCAAAGTGCAAGCTAAGTGTGCCTGTGCTATTAGTCAAAAGCACCGTAGTAAGTCGGAAATAGCTTTTAAAGCAATGTTCGTTCGAACACGACACAGTGCAGATTTCCCTTCACCTCTATTTCCCTTTGGTTGGATTGCCGTGTGGCTTGAGGTGCTGAAAGAAGCCACCGTAGGGACGACAGTAATCCAACCCCCCCCCCCCCCCCCCAAGGGAATAACACCTTAAGCAATAACAACACCATTACAAGTTGTTCGGGTTTCCCCAGACCAAACTTACTCTTTTAAAATAAATCCAGGTTGTTGAGTTAATAAGATCAAAATATTAACTGAAAAATACAAATAACAGTTCAATCCAATATTGAACCCCCAAAAAAAAGAAAAGAAAAAAAAAAAGTTAATTGACTACATGTACACTAGTTTCCCGGATTATCCTTGTCCCTGTTTGTTGTAATTAATTGTAAAGATGACCAAAATTAGAAGGCAAGGGCGCCACTCTCTCCAATCCCATGGAAATCGCAGCAAATTTCAAACTCCTAATTCTACTAAACTGAAAAACCATCTCTTTTCCCCCCCAATACCCTCCCCAATGGTCTTCCAGCACAACTGTACATTTACACTCTTCACTCTAGAAAGAAGCTTCATACTCATCATTACCGTAATTATTATTCCATGAGCGTCTTGGAAGAAGTGCACCATGTTCACTCATACTACCCCTTAGTCTGTAAAAGCTCGGATTACTCCGCACAGTCCTCAAAGGCCCTGATCTATTTCCATGTGTTATCGGTAATGCAACACCTCCTCCTCCACCACCCATCATTCTTGACGATGAGAATGGTCTGTTTTCCAACTCTTCCAGCGGACCCGAACTATACTCCATTGTCATGAATGAGGAGGCAACCCCATATGTTAACCGCGGTGTCAACCCACCAGCGTTCCACCAACTGCTATCCGAAGGGATTTGATCACCTTTGAATTCCGAGTCCGGAACAGATGACTCCTTTACACTAAACCCATCACCACATGTTTCGTCAGTATCATTGTAGATGAGCTTAAGAGCCTGCACAACTTCTCCCATGAATGGCCTTTGAGTCACCTCTGGGTGCACACACATGGAAGCAATAGCAGCCACCTTTGCCATGTCATCAAAGTCATAGCTTCCCGCCAAGGAAGGATCAATCAATTGCTTCAAACCATCTCTAGTCGTCAGTAGTGGTCTGGCCCAGGTCACGAGATTTTCTTGTCCAGGAGGTTGAGACATATCAACCGGTTTTCTTCCTGAAAGCAGCTCTAGTAGTACAACCCCATAGCTGTATACATCACTTTTGACAAGTAGATGGCCAGTCATAGCATATTCAGGAGCTACATACCTATAATCCACATTCAAGAGTGATTGTCAAGTAGTTGCTTTTTGCAAGTGTCTTACAATACAAAGGCAGCTATATACAACTGAACAATATAACCAAGTATTTCAAAGGCATGCATAAATAATGGATGGTGAAGGATTAAGACTTAAGAGTATATGAACTCCACCCCTCACATCCCAAAAGGGAAAGTGAGCTCTTCTTAATTACAGAGTATATTATTTCCTCTTTAAAGAGGAGCATTAAAAATAAATAAATAAAAAGCCGAACAAACTAATCTCTTCTTATGAAATAAACCCATCAGAGATGAAAGCAATAATTTTTGGATATTACCACAATGACACATCTATGGCAGACTGCTGTACATTCTGACCTTGGAATCAGCAGTTAACTCATGTGGATCATATTCTACCCATTAATTACTTTTAGAAACTTGGTATTATGAATCAAACAGAAAATAGACATACCCAAAAGTTCCCATGACTCGAGTTGATATATGTTGACTTCCTTCTGTTGCTTCTCTTGCCAACCCAAAATCTGAAACCTTGGGGGTAAAATCATCTTCCAGCAGAACATTACTAGCTTTAAAGTCACGATGAATTACACGAGGGTTAGAATCTTCATGAAGGTAAGCTAGCCCCCTTGCAGCACCAAGAGCAATTTTCAACCGTGCATCCCAATCAAGAGGCCCTTTCCTCTTGTCTATACCTGAAATAACAACAGGATCCCATCAAAGAAGCTCACTGCAAAGCAAACAGATACTGCATATAACAGAGAGGTGATTCAACACTATGCTTTTGGTTTGTAGGACGAAGACTTCTAGAAAATTGAAAAAAATGATTCAGAAGATATTTCAACCCCAAAAGGTCTCCAAGACAGAAGCATAGGAAGCAAGTAAAAGCAACCAAAGAAAACAAAGAAAATACCATGCAAGTGAGATTCAACACTTCCATTTGGAACAACTTCATAAACCAAGCAACGTGTACGGGCTTCAATGCATATGCCAATTAATTTCACAAGGTTACGGTGATGCAATCTGCTCAGCATCTCAACTTCAGCAATAAATTCACGATCTCCATTCTGATTATCCCTTGTAAGCAATTTGACAGCAACTTCTGTCATGTCTTCCAAGATCCCATGATAAACGCGTCCAAACCCTCCTTCCCCTAAAACTTTTTTAAAACTAAACTTTTCGGTGGCCTTCTCAAGCTCAGCAAGTGAAAATGTTCGAACAGAAAGAACAGATGCAGGCATTGCTGAAGCAAGAGACACTGATGTTGAGCTTGCTGGGCTACTTGATATCATAGACCCAATTCCTGAAAAAAAAAATAAATAAATAATAGTTGAGGGTTTCTGCAGAATTCTTTTGTCAGTTGACTTAAGGAGAATTCCAAACTAAGTCAAAAAGACAGCCAAGTTATGAGCTACACAACTATATTATCATATCAAGTAAACTTTCAAGGTTAACTCCATTTCTTCAACCAGACACCTGCCACATCATATAAGAAAAGATAGCAGGTTCTCATAAATCTGGAAATAGAATGTTCACAAATTTATGTAACAGAATAGATTCCAAAGAGCAAGAAGGATCAACAAGAGACTAACAAAAAAGGGCCCGCTTCATTTCAAACGTGCTACTAGCAACTGGAAATAGGCATGTTTTCAGAGCTCCATTATTGGGATCTCCATAACAGCATAACTAAGTGAGTCCAAGGTAATCAGAGAGCAAGGCTGACATAAGCAAATATGCCAGTGACACTGTGTGACCATGGTAACTACAAAAGGCTTAGAAATATAAAGAAACCAAATAGCTCAGTAAAAGGAATTGTTGCCTACACCCTCACCTTCCCCACAAAAAAGAAAAGAAAAGAAAAGAAAAAAAAAAAGGAAACAAAATAAATACACATTGAACACATTTTCTAATTATAGCTATCCGCCTATCCAAGCTCAAATAATTAGAAACCTACATAGGAAATGCAGAAAATGGAAAACACAAGAAACTAAAACAAAGTGCAGTACATAGGGAAAAAGAAATGAATTCAAATTAGTGACCAATCTAATTGAAGAAAAGAATTTCTCCAGTGTTCATGAGCATAAATTTCTTGGTTTTCATATAATATCTAAGCAAATTAATATATACTCCTATAAGTTTAACATTTCAACATATCCATATTAAAGCATCCATGTAAAGCACATAGAAATAAAATGCAACAATAAATAAATTCAGAAACTTCAAAAGAAATAATACAAAATAACATCAACAACAAAAATAATAATGATGATGATAATAATTTCATACATGAACTGAATTCAGACATACCAGATCTCTTGTTTATAGCAGGAACAAATACTGGACCAACAGCACTTGATGGTCTGCCAGGCCTCCTGCATTTTAACAGAATAGCAAAGGCCCCACACACAATCACTAGGAGTATTAGTGCTGATGAAGCAATGAGAAATATCAGCCGGGGACTCATTTTCTGATTCCTGTCCACAAAATCAGCAGTAACAGGAAACTGCTGAGGGTCCGTGCTTGCACTTGGGCCATTAGAACTGCCAGGTGGTGGGGAAGAAGACAGCCCTGAGATTAAAACTTTCAGACCATATAGAACCATACTAAGGAACAGAGTGAAAGACAGTAAGGAGTTCACCAAGTAGTCAAGTACCTGGATAGATAATGGATATCACCTCATAATCACCAAAGATAGTACGGTTTAAAGGCACTTTTTTATCCCAAAATCTTTGATAAGTCAGCAGAGCAGTGGTGTTATCAAACTTCTCCCCTAGTGGAACCAAGTTAAGATCAACCACAGTCCTTTCCTGAGTCTGACTATCAGCACTTGCTCCAACTACAGTCACCTGATGGGGATCTAGGTATGTGCCTGCTGCAACCTCAAGCCCAAGCTCTCTAATGGCAGGAAATATAGCATAAAGTGACACACCTAGGAGGAGTTTCACTTTCATTGGAAACACACAATCACATCTTGAAAGGAGGGGAACTGAAGCAAATGGCAGCGCACAGGTCTGACCACAGGCTGCCAGTTTAAGTTTTAACATCATTCACTATTACAGGAACCAAATGGGGATCACCATCACACAGCAATACATAAGATAGAAGAGTCAAGTTTTCCAGTTTCAAACATGTTATGGCTAAAACTTGTGAGAAACATCAAACATGCAACATTTTTTTTTTGCTTAGTTCTAATCAACATTTTCCAAAATCTTCAAATGCATGCACTGTTGTGAGGCAATGTGCATCTGTCTTTCATCAAACAAATGAAGCTCTAGATTTGTTCGGAAAAATTAACAGAAAGAGATAGAAGATTTAATATGGAGTGATCCTTTTGAAGAAAATTTTGAAGCATTACCTGATCCCGTAGCTGGAGATGGTGAAACTGTTGCTGGAGTTCTCCCCCGATGATGACGACGGTGACGACGCCTTTGCCAAGTATTGCCAATAGGACTGGCTAGAGGACCTAAAGTAGTGAGCTTTACATCAGTAAGGCAATGAACAGAAGTAAAGATAACAAGCACCACAAGTACCTTGAGGCCCTGGTGAAGGAGCTGGTACAGCAGTGGGATTGAAAGAAGGTTTAGAATGATGTCTATGGGGAGCTGATAGAGGAGCAAGTGATGCACTGGTTGAGTCTAACCTCACTGCAAAAGATGAAGAAAAGATTACTGTGCCAGCACTCCAGATTTATATCACAAATACAAGACAGCACAATGGTTTAACAAAATTTAGATCAGCAGAAATCAGAGGATGAAAAACATATAAAAGTGGGAAAATAAAAATGTCACCAGAACAAAGAAACTTTTGAACCTACCATCTTCCAGAGATAATCTTCTTGTAATGTATGACTGGCTTGGCAGAAGATAAGGAGACAGGTAAATACGTTCTGTCAGAATTCCTGATCAAGTGGAAATGCATGCAGAAGGACAAATTAGATAACCAAAAAACAAGTGCTCTAACTTGAAACAAAAGGAAAGTAGTTCACTGTATTTCCAGGATTAGGCAAATGAGTTTCTCATTCCAAAATGCCCAACTTCCCTAAATGCTAGAGTTACATTTAAGTTTGTTAAGTGTTGCACAACCCAAATATCTAATAGGTACATAATTGTTTCCTTTGAAGGGAAATTTATTTATAGCCAGTATACAGCTAAGAAGTGATTGACTACACCTATAACCACAGAGTTACCATTCATACAGACACAAACACTAAGAATGGATTATTTGTACAACAGCAATGGACATCAAATAAGGAAAAAGGACAAGACCTTCAAGCAGCCTCATATCACTATATAAGATGCCAAAATGAATTCAGATTGGGATTTTGCACATGCCAGATTCATTGGTATTACAAAAAATGGAGTACACACCAACCATTGCATAGATAATATACCTACAAGCTCATTACTCAATTCGTTCATCTCATTTGCAATGTCGAGGGAAAGGAATTGTTGCCAGAAAATGAGGGGAAGCTTAAAATTTAAATCACTAAGGGTGTTCTTAACATAGCACGAAAAGTTCTACTCCAAATTTTCTAGCTAGAATCCTTGGCCATTTGGTAATTCTTTGTTGTTTATCCTTGTTAGGAACATTTGAAGTTCAAGCTATGAATACAAAATTAATTTTGACTACATAACTTCCAAATCAGCATAAAGGAGAATTTATAGACATTAATGTAAAACAAAAAGCAGAAGCAAGCTGAATTTACCGAGACTAGTAGGGACTAGAGTGAGAAGGGGGAGAAGACAGAGAAATAGAAGAGAAGACATCCTCTCTCACTAGCACGAAATTCCAAACACCATTATTCTCAGAATCCAGCCGGGACCATCTGGAACAGCACCCTCTTGGGGGTCTGCTAAAGCCAGCCGCACCGACAAAACCCTCCATAAACTCCTCTGCAAAAGTCCAAGTGTAGCATGTCGTTTAAACCCAGTTCAGTTCAAAGGCCCAGCAAGCATGACGAGAGTAGAACCCTAGCAGAGCTGAACAATGCCGCCGGATACTTCACAGATCCATGAAATGCGGGTCGGGCGGCGGGATCTAAGAAGTGAAGGCGGAATGAGAGAGAAAGCGAGAATGCAGGGAGAGAGAGAGAGAGAATGGTGAGATCTTCGAGGCTTAGCTGGTGAGATGAGTGAAGAAGAGCGAGGCGAGGAGCGAGAGAGGATTTAGCGGCAAGAGAGAGAAACACGGCGACGGAGAGAGAGCGGAAGGTGTAGAGAGAGTGAGGTGGGTCGCTTTATTGCCGGTGTAGCGACCAGCACTAGTTGCGTGTAAACCACGCACCAATAGAATTGCGGGCATGAATAATTTTGACCTTTTTACAGCCATAAAACCAAAAGATAAAATACAAAAAGCATAAAGGAAACTGAGGTGTTTTTCATTCTAAAATCTAAAGTCTAGATTTTGCTTTTTTAAAAATGAAAAGTTTATCCAACAAACAAATTTTGTTTATTCTTTTTATGATGCGAGGAACACCTCATCATGACCATTTGTATTATTCATGCTGATGCAATATATATATATATATCTAATTAAATATCAAAGTTATAATACAAAATATATTATACAAGTATATATTTATTTACCAAGTATTTTATATAAATATAAAAAATATTAATATTTTGTTCAATACTTTCACATGATAACCTACGACACACATCCCACAACGCATGAAACATGTAGAGAAAAAATTATCACTACCAAATATCAATAGGTGCTTGTAAGATAAAGAGTTAATAGTACAACTAAGATCCTATCATATACCCAACAAGGTAAATCTAAAGCTTCCTACACTATAATCTCATTGCATGATGAATCCATCTATGCTACCACCAGTAACCCAATTGCACATGACACATTACAAATAAAAAAAAATTAGAGAAATTTAAATCAAAAATAGTATTTATTTAGACTAAGTATTTTAACTAGCGTTATTACAAAGTTGCAAACATTTATTTTAGTGGCAGTATAATCAATATCTTATATATTATCTTGCATTTATATACTTTAAATTACTGATTTAAATAAACAAATTCAATATTTATTTACCTATGCATGAACATCTCCAATATAATATTGCATTGATATATTTTAAAATACTTATTTAAAAATAATCATTAGACATTATTCAATTCGCGCAAAGCGCGTAAAAGAAGTAGTGTGTATATATATATATATATATATATATATATATATATATATATATATATATATATATGAAAAAACAAACAAACAATTTATTTTAGTTGATTAAAGTGTAACAAATTATTTAAAATTGTAACAAGGACATTGTGGTCTAATGGTATTAGGTTGTTCTTTTTGTTAGAGGTGGAGGGTTTTAGCCTCGATAGAGGTGTAGTAATTTGTATATTTGGAACTTAGTGGCTTGTGGTCCATTGGTATCGAGTTACTCTTTTAAGTGGGAGGTGAAATGTTTGAACCTCACTTGACACAAATAATGTGTATATGTAGGTTGTCTCTCTTTCTTATAATAAAAAAAAAAAATTGTATATTTGAATATCCCCTTTTCTTGTAATAATAATAATAATAAATTATTTAAAATCATTTTGTATTTCAAACGCATTAAAATAAAGTAAATAGAAGTGTTATTTTAATTACAAAGTAATGTGTTTTTACACAATCTTTTAAGAGTTCTACTACATGTACTCTCAAATTCTACTCATTCACTTTTACTCACTGACATAGCCGGCAAATAATGATAGGATACTTTCATCATGTAGATCTTTAAAAAAATATTTACACTAAAAATGGTGAGATAAAGTAGAAATTGAAAGTAAAAAGTGGGAGTAGTAATAACGCCTCCATTGAAGCTCGAACTTACAACCTTCCAAATGGAAGTCCAACCCGGATACCATTAGACCACATAGTCCTGGTAATATTTTCCTTTTTGAATTAGCAAAAATGTCTACATTAAACACTCCTCACTGTAACGTTTATATGACTCGAAAAAGAATGAAACACAACCATTTCTTCAACTTCACCTCTCACCTGGTCAACCTAGCTATCATGTTGAATAACATTCTTTTATATTATGTTGATAATTTTTATTGTATGTAATTATAATTCTAAATCTTAATATACATCAACATTAAATTACATGTATATCGCATCTATTTTTATTCATTGTAGAGTAGGTTCATAATATTATTTCTATATATTCATAAAACAAAATTTAATATACATAAAATTACATTATATGTAAATCATGCGTAATAACATCCATCATATACCATGTTCATAGTATTTGTTTTATATTATCATAAACATAAATAATAAATTATGAGAATATCATATCTATTTTCAATTACTCTCAAGTAGGTTCATAATGTTCTTTATATATACTCATAAAAATAATGTTTAGTATACATAAATATTACATTAATTGGAGCTTTTTAATATTATATTTTTTATACTAATTTTATTTGTACACAAAAAAACAATTGAAAAAAATTTAAGAAAGAAAAGGTAGAGGTATGTTTGATGCATGTACCAACATGCATGTAACCTGGTATGGTTTAGGTATACCTATTGACTCCTACCCATTGCAAATTCCACAACAATCCAAAATATATATAAATAAAGGAATTTTTTAAAAAATATTGTGAGAACAAGATATAAGATCTTCCACCAAAAGATGCAAAGAAAATTATATGGGGAAGTAAAATACTTTCCCTCAACAAGTGTACGTTGCCTTTAAATATATAAAGTTATATATATATATATATATATATATATATATATATATATATATATATATATATGACAATGATTTTTTAAAGATACTTTTTTCTTTTTAGAAAACCTTTATTTATCAATCTTTAAAAAAAAAAAAAACCATTTTACACAATGTTTTGAATAACAAGAAAAACCTATACCAGGCAAGAATATAGAACTCGTCATGTTACATTCACTAACTACCTCCTCTGAAAACACTCAGCATGTTCACGTGTGACAAGTTCGATTAAGAGAGTGTTAGTAAAACTCAAATTCATTACATTTTAGATACAAAAATCATGTTTTACTATCCAGACACCCATCCTAGGCTTAAACTAATTGAGATTGAGAAAAACAAGTGAGATTTTTTTAAAGCAAACCAAGTGAGATTGATTTAAAGTTATTTTGCTCTTTTTTTTTTCTTTTTTTTTTTGGTGATGAATGTTACCCTACGTGAATACAAGGAAATAATTTTCAAAACAACAATTTTGTTTTGTTCCTTTTTAGAAATAGAAGTGAGGAAATAAGCGTTAGTTAATTGCAATTCTAATATGGAAGTTAAATATAATTGTAATTGTTGTGGAATTTCATGCATTAAATTATGAATTGTAATTGTAATAGAGTCATAGCATTCATTAAATTATTTAAGATCAAAATACGAACTAAAGCTCTATTTGGTAATGTTCTCAAAATAAGTTCGTGGCTTAAAATAAGAGCTTATTTTAGAACGCTACTTTAGGTAGCGTTTCAAATAAGCTAATAGCTTCCTAATTTTTATTTTTTTTTTCATTTTTGTCCTTATTGTTTTAAAGAAACGTTCTTTACCATTTATAATTAAAACCATTTTCTCTTCTTCCTTTATCCGCAACTTTCACCGCAAATATTATTATTATTCTTATTACTAGTTTTACACGCGCATTGCGCGAATGAGTTAATGCTCAATATTTATAATTAAATAAATATTTAAAAGTATATCAATGCAATTTAGCATTTTTGAGAATGATTTTTCCAAAACACCTCTATATTTATAAAAAAAAAAAAAAAAAAAAAATTACTATAGAACCATTTCGACTCATTGAATAACAAGAGCCAGTTTCGCTGGCTCACTGTTTGCCTATCAACGGATGGACAAGCTTAGTTTTTAAATTGGAGCCTTAAGGCTCCCATGCCACTTTTTCCACCAATGTAGGAAAAGTGACAAAACTAAGGGGAGTCGAACGTTCGGCTCCCCATATGTTTTATTTTTTTATTTTTTAATTTTATTTTTTAATTAAATTATTAATATTTTTAAAACAATTATTATTATTATTATTATTATTATTATTATTATTATTATTATTATTATTATTATTATTATTATTATTATTATTATTATTATTATTATTATGTATACATTTAGGTCATTTTACATGTTAATCTAAACATATAATTTTTTCAAATATCTTATTACCAACTGTTGATATAATTCACTGGTCAAATCCGCTAAATGCTAACTGCTAACTGCTGATTGTCAAACAAGAACATTGCGAGGTAGTTTCTCACTTCAATTTGTTGTGTGATTTGAATACTCTCTTTGTCAACAAATCCCTTGCAAGTAGTTAATATGATTGACTTAATTATATTTTTAAATTTTTTCATGGTATTAATAAAATACTTGGTAAATAAATATATAGCATTATTTTGTATTATAACTTTGATATTTAATTAAAAAATACTGCACAAAAAAAAGATTATAGACAATGTAGTGAATATAATCAATTGATGAATTTGAATGTAAAGAATATTTTTTACATTGAGAAAAAATAAAGACAATATAACTAATGAAATTATTTCTCTTAATTAATTTATTGATAATGAATAATTTTTTTTTTGAATAAAGACATTGTTGGGACAATATAGAAAATATAATCCATTAATGAATTTGAATGTAAAGAATTTTTATATTAGAGAAAAATAAAGACAATATAACTAAGGAAATTATTTCTCTTATTTAATTTATTGATAATGAATATTTTTTTTTTGAATAAAGACATTGTAGACACATAATTCTAAATTAAAGAAATGCATATGTATTTTTTTTTTGTAGCTACTAAATTATTATTTAATTTAACTAGTATTTTCGCCCGTGTGATGCACGGAATAGATTTGTTATAATATGCTAAGAATATTCGGATCGATATATAATATTTAAATTAGAACATCAAATATTATATTGTGCAATTGATGTGGAAGTGAATATGATGGGTTTCCCTAAGTGGAGGATGACATGTTATTATGGCTATCCACAACGGTATAGGCGCACTGAAGCGTGGAATTTCATTAAATCATTGGCTCCCCAGTCTGATCTGCCATGGGTTATGATTGGGGATTTTAATGATCTCTTATTCCACTATGAGAAGAGAGGTGGAAATCCACACCCAGATAGACTGCTACGGGGATTTGGGGAGACCATTCAGTATTGCAGCTTATCTCAGTTGCCAATGAATGAGTATCAGTTTACCTAGGAGAAGGGAAAGGGCACATCTCGGTGGATTGAGGAAAAATTGGACAAAGTATTAGCTATCGATGTGTGGCGTGATATTGTCACTAGAGCCAGGGTGACTAATATCCTATTAAGAAGGTCTGGTCATTCTGCCCTCTTTATGGGAATACACGACCCTATGGGGAGGGGGAGAGTACAGAGAAGGTTCCGCTTTGAAATGGCCTGGCTGCATGATGAGGGGTGCAAGACTGTGGTAGAGGAGTCTTGGGGAGAAGGGAGGAACAGTGGTTTGCAGGAGTGCATTGTGCATTGTGGTAACCGGTTAGCTCGCTGGGGGGGGGGGGGGGGTGTGATCGGTATCATAAGTTTGGTGAGCGAATAGAGCAGCTTCGCAAGGAACAGTTATATCTGAAGGGGAACACGAACCCAGTATCATTAGCTGAGTTCCGCCGCCTGGAGGAGGCTTTATGCCGAGTTGAGGCCCAAGAAGATGCATACTGAAAACAGAGAGCCAAACAGCACTGGTTAAAGGGTGCCGACGCCGATACAAAATTCTATCACAGGTACGCCTCTAATCGCAAAAGGAAAAATAATTTATCTAAAATTATGAATGATGATGGGGACTGGGTGGAAGGTGATGGTATGAGAAAGATTGTCCAAGACTATTTTGCAAATATTTTCTGTACTAGTAATCCTGCTAATGGTGCTGAGTTATTTGAAAAGGTTATGCCCAAAGTTACACCTTTACAGAACGAATTACTTCTACAACCTTTTAATGTGGATGAGGTTAGGGAGGCTCTTTTTGCAATGTTTCCAGATAAAAGCGCCAGGGCCGGATGGAATGAATCCAGGTTTTTACCAGCATTTTTGGGATGTGGTAAGCGTGGATCTTTCGGAATTTATTGTTGATTGTCTGAATACCCGAAATTTCCCTGCTACATTGAATGAAACGAATGTTGTATTGATCCCAAAGAAATGTACGCCTAAGCGGGTCACGGATTTGAGACCAATAGCTCTGAGTAACATGGTTTATAGAATAATGGCTAAAATGATTACACAAAGGATGAAGCCTCTGATGGAAAGTGTTATATCTGAGTCACAGAGTGCGTTTATACCTGATAGGCTCATCACTGATAATATCTTGATAGCAGCAGAAGTTGGTCATTATCTGAGTAGGAAGCAGTGTGGGGTAGTAGGATGGGGAGCTTTCAAATTGGATATGACAAATGCCTATGATCGTATGGAGTGGCCTTTTTTACAAGGAATGTTAAAGGCCTTGGGCTTTGATGAGAGATGGATAGAGCTTATAATGTTATGTGTGACTACTGTGTCATACAGGATCTTGGTAAATGGTTCCCCCAGTGAACCGATCATACCTACCCGGGGACTCAGGCAAGGGGATCCATTATCTCCCTATCTATTTATTATATGTGCGGAAGGGCTATCTGTTTTGATACAGCAGGCACATGATAATGGTTTAATACATGGCTGCAGAGTTGCGTGTGGCGCACTCCCAATTTCTCATTTATTTTTTGCTGATGATAGCCTGTTGTTTTTCAAGGCAAACCCACAGGAGGCTACTCAGGTGAAGAATTGCTTGGCAACTTATGAGAGATTGTCTGGACAAATGGTGAATTACCACAAGTCTAGTATCTGTTATAGTAAGAACACAAGTCAGGGATGTAAGGATGTGGTGGCGCAGGTTTTAGGGGTAGACCAGGCTCCTAATTTTGGCAAATACTTGGGATTGCCACCGTTTGTGGGGAGGAATAAGAAGGCGGCATTTGCATATATTAAAGACAAAATTAGACAGAGAATTGTGTAGTGGAGCAAGAAATTACTATCACAGGCAGGAAAGGAAGTCTTGTTGAAAAGTGTGGCTCAAGCTATGCCAACTTTTTCAATGAGTGTCTTTTTGTTGCCTATATCTGTGTGCACAGCAATTGAACGGGTTATGAATCGCTACTGGTGGGGCTCAGCGACTGACCGTAGTATTCACTGGAAGGCATGGGATAAATTGTGTATTCCTAAACAGTATGGGAGGCTGGGTTTCAAAGATCTGAGGGCTTTTAATTTGGCAATGTTGGGTAAACAGGCGTGGAGATTGTTGACCAACACTGACTCACTTGTTTCTCGAGTATACAAAGCCAGATATTATCCTAAGAGTTCATTTTATGAAGCAGAGATTGGAAATAATCCAGGTTATTGCTGGGGGAGCATTATGGCTGCTAAAGCATTAATAACAAATGGAGTAAGACGACGTATTGGGGATGGAAAGTCTACCTTAATATGGGAACATCCTTGGCTACAAGATGAACTGGAACCAAGGATCCAAACAGAAGATGTTGTTATAATATACTAAGAATATTTGGATCGATATATAATATTTAAATTAGAACATCAAATATTATATAGTGCAATTTAAGATGTGGTTTGAATCATTTATGTGTTTTGATGTTATCATTGCTTGAATTTGAGCAAATTATTACTCAAATTAATAGCTAATGTGTAGATAACTAGATATACGCATGTGGTGTTGTAACTTTGGGGGTTTTATTTATTATTGTTTAGTATTTTTTTTTATAAATTAGGCAAATGTGTTCGTTCTCTATGATATTAGTCCATTAACGATCATTTTTATATTTTAAGTCAATTAGTAATATCAAATTCATTTTCAGTCAATTATTCTTTTTTATTTTTAGTCAATTAGAATATCATATGCAATGATATTTTTACTTAATTTATGTTCTATTTTTAATTGATGATATATAATATTATTATAGAAAAATAGCAAATTTTCTCCATTAGTTATATACTCATAGCACTTTTCCCCCCTGAATTATTCTAGTGGTTATTTTCTCCCCTGAAATGTTAAATGGACATATTTACCCCAAATTATCACCACGATTTGATTCAAATCAAACAGACACTATAGAAACCAAACTGAAATATTCTAATTACAATTTAGAGTCGAAACCTGATATTTAGAGTTTATTAACATCACGAACCAGAATAGCCAGTTCATGTTCTAAACTGAAAAAAAAAATACATTTATTGTTGAATTTGACTATTTTAAAATAAAAAATAAAATTTTAAAATAAAGACGGTTCAAAATCGTGAACCGGATCCGGAACCGCCGGTTCACGGTCCAACATCCAATTTTTTCGATTCATAATTTTAATAAACTGAAAACCAAATATTGGGTTCTGGATTTTAATCATAAGCGAAAACTTTCAATTCAATTGCTATAATGTCTGGTTCAGTTCGAACTGAATTGTGGTCATCCCTACGTATAACCAATAATTTGTTGGAGATGGAAAATAAATAAAATGTTTACTCTAAGGGCATAAATGTCAATTTAATATATCAAGGGGTAAAATCACATATTTTAGAATAATTGAAGGGGCTTATGTGCTTACAAGAATCATTCAGGGGGGAAATGTGCTATAACATATAATTCAGGAGGAAAAAGTGTAATTTTTCCTATTATTATTGAAATATTTCAAAGTTCCATTTTTAATTTGTCTTTACTATTGTTTAAAATATGCATTTACTATTTATAATATATAATATTATTATTGAAATATTTTCGTCCGATTTTATTTTCCGTCCACTTTTAATTAAAATGCAATGATCTAACCATTTATTTTTTTTATATTAGTCAATTATGGGTCATTTTTTTTATTTGCAGTCAACTATTAATATTCATTTTCTTTTATATTTGCAGTCAAGTAGTAATGTCATATTCATTTTCAGCCAATTATTCTTTTTATTTTATTTTATTTTCAGTCAATTAATCAATTAGAATATCAGATGGAGTGATATTTTTACCCAATTTTTGTTCCATTTTAATTGATGATGTAAAATATTATTATTGAAATATTTCCGTTTCATTTTTAATTTTCATTGCATTTTTAATTTACCTTTACTATTGTTCAAAAGGGAAGTGTATTTATTTATTTAAGGTATTGCCCTAATCAATTCATTATATTTTTATAGATGTTGAGGTTGAGTAAAGGGGGCGGAGCTTGAAGAGCGAAGCCTCCCGAAACTGGTCAACTGGAAAATCCAGAACATTCCTTTATTGAATATTGAAAAAATTTATTGATATTCCTAATCAATTCATTATATTAATATTCCTAATTAATTTGTATTGCGTAATACAAAATTACAAATATTTTATTAGTTAACTACAAAAGTTTGGGCAGGGAAATAAAATAGGAGGATTTTGTTTTTATATAGATATATAGATATATAGATTATTATTATTATTATTATTATTATTATTATTATTATTATTATTATTATTATTATTATTATTATTATTAAGAAGGTAAGTAATTATGGCGTTTGACTGTAAAATAATTATTATAGTAGTAATTTGATAGGATTGCCAGCATATTAGAGAGGATTTAATAATAATAATAATAATAATAATAATAATAATAATAATAATTATTATTATTATTATTATTATTATTATTAAGGTAAGTAATTATGGCATTGGGTTGTTAGCTTATTATTATTATAGTAGTAATAGGATTGCCAGCATATTGGAGAGGATTACCAGCATATTGGATTCCAAAATAATATTTTTGTAATTTAGGAAATAAAGAAGATAGTTTTACCGTAATAAATTTAAATTTTGGAAATAAAGATTGGAGACTAAAATGGGTTAACCACTGGAGTGTTACCGTAATCAATTAACTGTAATAGTTATCGTATCAACTATCAAAGTTTGGGCGGGAAAATGACCACAAAACTAAGTTTGTTCAAATGACCACAAAACTAAGTTTGTTCTTTAAAAAATCCTGTGTTTATTTATATGTTAGATGTTGATAAAATCTCATGCCTACTACAGTACATACTAAGAATCGAACCCTAGTGTGCCAGTAAAAGAAAAAAAAAAACTCATGCCAATGGACCAAAGGGAGTTTGGGAATTAAGGGATGCTTTTTAAGGGAAGAAAATGTTGCCTATTTATATTGTTGAAGGACTCATGATGGTTGATAAATGGACGACATCGGGCAACCATCATTCTTGGTCACACACGTGTCCCCCTACTACTTTGTTTCCAGCGCACTCCCATGCATAAGTGGAGCTTCGTGCCATTTAATGCACAAGATCTTGAGTAGCTTGGGTGTTTGTGCTTATGTTATTAAATGTGAGGTTATGGGTTTGATACCTCCATAGTAACATCTTTTATAATATTTTGCTCCAAACTTCTTTTTTTTTTCCTCAGCCCAATAGATTTTTATTATTCTTATTGGGCCAATACCTCACCCATAAAGAGTGGTCCCCGGGGTCCCATGTTCCCATCAATTATAAATCTCACTATATCATAGAAAGGTAAAAAAAAAAAAAAAAAAAAAATCAATCACAAAGTTACAACTCAAAAAATACAATTAGAAATAGAAATAAATTTCATAAGTTTCAATTTTAATATCATATAATATCCCTAAATTCATATTCTAAAAAATAGGGAGGAAAAATTTAATGTAAAAGTGCATATGGAGGATTGCCCCATAACCTTTAGCAATTAACATACCAACCATAAGACCCACCAACTAAGCTAAGTCATATTTTAATAACTTGAACGTATATTAAAGTTATATCCCTAATTTATGTCCATGATTTTAATATCCTTACCGTTATAACTTCCATTATCTTTTTCATTACTTTTACCATGTACATGCATCCACCATATCGTATTTTTTATATTCTTTAATGATAATAATATTTGTAAACATTATATATTGGATTAATATAATAAATAAATTTTTCATTTAGATTTTAATTAGTAAAAAATTGTTAGTTATTTTTTAAAATATAAATATTGGGCATATTTTTTTGCGAGTCGCGCATAGAAAAAACTAGTATATTTAACAAAAGACAAAATATTTTCTTTAGGATTTTTTGATTAACTACTAGTTGAGTTATATATTAACAAGGAAAATACTACATAGACTCTTATTTCTTACTCCCAACTTCTACTTTCTCTCACAATTCTTGATGTAGACATTTTTTCTAGAACCCACATGATGAAAATATTTAATCCTTATTTGTCATATCATGGAGTAAAAGTGAGAGAGTTTTAATTAATTTGAACTCTATTAACAATTATGACAGCAAGCGCAGCACAAAAAAATCCACATATTAAACCTCCACTCCTTTAGTCGTTTGGCAAAAGCTAGTGTACGTTTGAGACTCACTGAGGGAGTTATTAGTATTTTTTTAACCTCCACTCATAATATATTTAATTATAACGTTAAAAATTACAATTGTAGTTATTGCGTGTACATATAATAAAGTTTAGAAAAATGTTCAAATTGATCATTATATTGAATTTAACACAAAAATACAATCAGGCCATTAAACTTAAATTAAAGAATGCATTTAAAAGAAAATCTAGCTACCTTGGATTGCAAGAAATAATGTTAAAATCGTTGTTGAGCAATCCTCAAATTGCATAGTTTTGTGAAAGGAAGATTTAAAATAAGTTTAAAACAAGACAAATTTAATTTGATCAATATAATGATGGTCACTCTTAGGGTAGGGGTTCAACCTTTTAGAAAGAATATAAATATATAATGATGGTCACCATTATTTTTAATTATTATTTCAATTATCAAATAAAAAGACTTAAATAAAAAATTAGTTTGAACCCGATCCCAATTTTATTTTTCTTTGATCATCCATTTAAAGATAAAAAGTAAAAACAATTGATGACAAGTGAAGATCATCTACACATGTGATTATAACGGCATATTTGGTTTACGAAATAAATTTTGAGGAAATAGAAGAATAATAGTAATACATCCCAGCTAGATTGGAGTTTCACATCAAATGATGAGTACTTTCTTTCTGCAAAGCAAAAGTTTACTAGCCTTCAAAATAAGAAAGAAAGATATTTTATGATTGGGGTTAACCTTTTGGAAGAAGAAAGAAAGATATTTTCTCAATTTAATTAGTGTAAATACTTTGAAGCCACGTCTCAAAATTGATAGGAGATTAAAAATTCTAAAAAAAATGGTATTCCCTACATCACCCCAATTGCCAATTCCCCCAATTTATGAAGATTATGGGGCAAAAAAACTTCCATATTAGGTTTTAATTAACTAAAACATTGCAATATGAAAAGGAAAAGTGTAACAACTTGTTAAGTTATAAAATAATTTGAGATAACCATAGCCAAGTTGAATGCTTATCCCGGAATCGTGAGACGTTGAAAATTATGAGATTTTGTATGTTAGAAAGAAAATTTGAACCTAATTTGGAAGTAAATTAATGAGAGGCTCTCCGCCAAATTAGTAGATAATTTTGTTTCCTTTTTAGGACCGAGTGTATGTGTATAAATACCCGTCGAGGACTCAATGGGCACATTGTAAGGGGTTCAAACATTACACTTTAATTTGGCAATAAAAAGACTCACATGTTATTCTTTACATGTTGCATTAGTCGACTGACTACCCCGTAATTATCAAACCAAAAACGAGCAGCGGCTTTGAGCTTTCCCTCAATAGTTCCTTCTTATTGGTAGCCTTTTCTTCTCTCCTATTTGTTTTCCTCTTTTCTTCCCCCTCTCCTTCTTTCTCTTGTCTTTCTTTATATAGGAGAAGAAAAAAAAATTAATTTTAAATTCATAGTCAAAATTTTCGATCACTGAAGTGGTTGGAAATTTTACCACTTTGATGATAAAAAATTTACTTTTTTTTGGATGTTTTAAATTTTTGCTAACTCAAGACCTATCGCTAAGTTGAAGAAGACTAAAGTACACTTGCCCCTTTTATTTAATCATTTAAATAATCAAGCTAAGGTATTTTAGTTTTCAGAATTTTCAATTAACTTCATTTCCCTTTCTTTACTTCAATCCATCAACATTATCATTATCCCACTAAGGAACTTCATTTCCCTTTCTTTACTTCAATATATCATTATTATCACTGTTAGCAAAAATCGCGCCTAGGCGCTAGGCACTGCTCGACCGCGACGAAGAAGGCCGGAATCGGCCTTCTCCGCGGCCGGGTTACTAGGCGGTCTAGTGGTAAGGCATAACTTTTAACTAGGCGGCCGATTTAACCTTTTTTTTTTTTTTTTTTTTTTGAGTTGTTGAAAAGGGTAGAAACTTTGGCAAGGCATAACTTTTGACTCAATTATTCGTTTTAGATATTTTTTTTTCAAATCGCGTATTTTTTCGAGATCTATGTGAAACAAACTGCCGTAAGCGGTTTGCCCCACCCTGTGAAACAAAAATGCTTCCTTTGCTCTTAATTTTAGTTTTTTATGTATTTAGATGGTTTCAACAATATTTTAAACAATTCCATAGCCACTTAAATAAATTGGTTGTAAGAAAAAACTATGTAAACCTTATGTTTTATTCATGCATTTTAAAATTTTAGTTAATTTTTTTTAAAAAATAAAATAAATAAATAAAAAATCGTTGGCGCCGAAAAATCGGCGCCTAACGTTTTTTGCAACCTTGATTATTATCATTATCTCATTGAGGTATTTGAAAGAGACACAATTATGCCGCTCGATAAGTCGTTGGCAATTGAATTAATCTAGATAAAATTATCCTACTGAAGGGAAGTTCGAACCCACAACCTCCCATATGGGAGAACAACTTGGTGGCCTTTTAATTAGATCATATTTAATTTAGTCTATATAGTTCATAGAGTTTGCTTTGTTAGCTAGCAATTTGCATGTTCTAATTTTTCAAGAATCTAAAACAAGAAATATGGATTTAGCTTTATTGTAAGCACTACTGTACATGCATTTGAGGATTTGTAAGTCAGTTGAAGCATATCATGCAATTTATCTTCTTCACCTTCATCCGTCTTCCGAGCCTTATATTAAGTCATTAACTATGCATTTTTTTTTTCAATTTAGTCATTTGATCATTTTTGATCAAATACGGTGAAAATGTTAAAAATTCAAGATTTCTCCAATCATTTTTGTTATACATGCAAAAATTCTAACTTTTAAAACAAAATCTCTCAAGCTTTTCCTATCATGTTGAACATTATATCCCTAGACAAACTCTCACCCCGGCCCCTTTAAGGACATATCTATGAGTATAATGTAAATTTTCCTACACAATTATTAATTATATGCTCTAATATGATCTTTGTTTAGTGAGAAGCTAATTATAAGTGATAACCCAATTGCAGGCTGACTTTCAACATGCCATCTTCACATGGCAAATCTGCTGTAATTGGAGGGTGTAAAGCACTGCTACTTTGCTGTCCTGTTCTTGTTTTCTTGACTCTTTCATTGCTGCTTCCAATAGGGATTTGGACTTGCCCATCATCTTCTTCTTCTTCATCTTCATTAGATGAATCAAGATCAGAGCTTGAGAGTAATGATCATGATTCCCCCACAAATCTAAGCCATTTGGTGTTTGGGCTTTTGGGGTCGGAGAAAGCATGGCGCCACCGGAGAGCCTATGTAGAGTCGTGGTGGCGGCCGAACGCCACGGTAGGGTTCCTCCTGTTGGATAAACCCCCCGGGGCGGAGCTCCTGCCGTGGCCTCCCAGCTCTCCTCCTTATCAGGTGTGTGACAATGTAAGTCGGGTGGTAGAAGAAACGAACCATGTGAATCCACGTGTGGCCCGGATGGTCCATGCGATTATGGAGACGGTCAGGGATGCGCCTCAACGGGTTACCGGGACGCTGAGGTGGGTGGTGATGGGAGACGACGACACGATTTTCTTGGTGGATAATTTGGTGGATGTTCTTGCTCAATATGACCACACTAAGTACTACTATCTTGGGGGGCATTCTGAGTTCATTGCTGCAAATTATCACTTCTCCTTCAAACAGGCCTTTGGGGGAGCTGGAATTGTGTTGAGCTTTCCTTTGGCCATGGCCATGGCGGATGGCATCATGGATTGCCTCAGGAGGTATTCTTACCTCAATAGTGCTGATAAAACTACTGGCTATTGCATTGCTGATCTTGGGGTTAATCTCTCTCCTCACCAAGGTTTTCACCAGGTATATATATATGTGTGTACATTCTAGTGTCAAATTATTATTTGGACCACACAGGATAACAAGAAGTACATTTTTAATATACTAAAATACATTATTTGTGTACAAAATGTATATTATACAAAATAATATACTTTTAGTATTCAAATAATGTACTTTTCCGGAATATAATGTATATTTTTAATATACTTAAAGTACATTATTCGTGTACTGAATGTACATTATTTGATAAAGTTAATACCCAAAATAGTCCTCGATTATAATAGTTTTTCTCAATTTTGTCCTAAACGACTTTGGTGACCTTATGTAGTCCAAAACTTTTGTGTTTTTGCTCAATTTAATCCTTCGTTTGTTATTCTGTTAAATAAATAGACAATACAGTAATTCCAATATTGGCCTCTCTTTACTCTCAGTCATGCAAAGTGCGAAATTCCTCTTTCTTTTACGAATTACTCCCAGACCTGCAAATCAAATTTATATTCACAGGTTTGTGAGTAATTCGTACAAGAAAGAAAATTTCGCACTTCACAAGTCTAGGAGTAAAGAGATGTCAATATTGAAATTATTGAATTGTCCCATATTTACACCACATGGACAAAATAACAAACAGATAACTAAATTGAGCAACAAATCTGAAACTACATTAAGTCGCGGAAATCGTCTAAGATGAAATTTAGAAAAACCATATAATCAAGAACTATTTTAAATATTAATATTTATTTGATAGTATCATCGACACATTTGTGTGAACAATGCTCCACACGATAATGATGGCATTCTAGCTATCTCTACACTAAATAAATTACTTCTTAGTACAATTCACGTGCTTCTTAAAATATATGATCTTATTACAGATTGATATGCATGGGGACATATCGGGATTCTTATCAAACCACCCAAACGCGCCCTTAATATCCCTTCACCACTTTGACTTGGTGGCACCGATCTTCCCCTCCATGAACAGACAAGAATCGGCCCGACATTTCATGACCGCCGCGAACTCCGACCAAGCTCGGATGTTGCAGCAGCTGATCTGCTTCCACCGGCCGAGAAACTGGTCGTTCTCCGTCGCCTGGGGATATTCCGCCGCCATTTACGAGAAGATCATGCCTCGGAGCTATCTGCAGAACCCCATCGAAACTTTTCAGACATGGGACCCCATTTCCTGGCCGCCGAGCTGGATTTTCGATGTCCGCAAACGTGCGGCGACGGACGACGAGCCGTGTCTTGTCCCTCACGCTTTCTTTCTTGAGTCGGTGGAGGAGGGGACTGCGCGGGGGGATGAGATTGTTACGACGTACCGGCGGGCGTGGCGGCGAGGCTTGCCAGCTTGCTTCGCCGGCGGCGACAGCGACCAGTCGGCTGACCGGATTTCCAAGATTGTAGTATACTCGCCCGTGACAAAGCCCGCAAAGGTATGTTTTAGATTGCCGGAGGCTTTATGCATTAGGCCATTACTTTTACCTTCTTATTGCTTTGAATTGCATCTATTTTTTTTCCCTTTTTCTTAAAGAAAATATTAATGAATTAAACAATAAAATATTAATATTGAAGATTCAAAAATAAAAAGTTAATTCCATTTCTTGTTATAGATTTATAAGTGATAGTCCATTTTTAGTGTTTTTTATTTTTATTTTTTATCAGAACGTTCACATTTAGTCCAAGTATTAATGTGTTGTGTCCATTTTTGGTCATTTGTCAATAAAATCGCTAAAATATTGTTAAATACAAAAGAATTTGCTCATTTTTATACAAAGTAAGTTGACTCTGTTATATTTTTGTGTCTATTTTTTTTGAAAAAATTAGTAATTGAAGACCGAAATGGTTTTTGTATTATTTAACGACATTAAAACTGTTTTGTAGATAGAGGACAAAAAATGATCACGTCATAATAATACTACGATCAATATGAATGTTCTGATTAAAAAAGGACTAAAAATTGACTATCACCTACAAATGTAGGACAAAAAGTGGAATTAACTCAAAAATATATGAGATAGAGGAAAGTGTAAGAGAATTGTATGTCACTTCTCTTTGCACCCAATAGACAAGTGGAGTTTCACTTATCCATTGGGCTCATGTGTGAGGTTCAACTACAACATTTTGTTTCCTTAAAAAAAAAAAAAAAAAAAAAACCTCTACTTTTTTGTCAGTAGTGTGTAGTCGTGTATTAGACTATTACCCCACACCAAAAATGTCAATAACAATGCCATATAGAGAGAAAATTCTATGTGGCTGTATGTTTAGTTATTCCCGTAGGGATGCTCTAACCTATCTTTATCTCTATCATTTTCTCTCACTTCCAAAATGAAATCTACAGGCAAACTATCACATTTGAAATTTATTTACCATTTCATTTGCATCCGTATAATTTCAACTCATTTTTAACCACAAAAACAACATACTTTTTTGGAATAAGGTTCAAATTGGCCACTGAACGTAACCTGAAAATGCAATTAGGCCACTGAACGAAAAAAAAGTGCAATTAGGCCACTGAACACTCCAAAAATGTGCAATTTCACCTGACAGCAAGTTACCCTCAATTTTAGCAGGTTATCTGCTTACGTGGCAGCTGAGTTGTCATTTTTAATAAATTTTAAATATTTTTTAATAAATTTTAATAATAAATTTTAATTTAAAAATTTTTTAAAAAATAAAAACGACTTTATTTTATTTTTATTTATTTTTTTCAATTTTTTATAAAATTTATTATTAATTATTAAAAATTATTTAAAATTTATTAAAAATGCCAACTCAGCTGCCACGTAAGCAGGTAACCTGCTAAAATTGATGGTAACCTGCTATCCGGTGAAATTGCATACGTTTGAAGAGTTCAGTAGCCTAATTGCACGTTTTTGGAGTGTTCAGTGGTCTAATTGCACTTTTTTTTTCGTTCAGTGGCCTAATTGCATTTTCAGGTTACGTTCAGTGGCCAATTTGAACCTTATTCCTACTTTTTTTAAAAGGTTGAAAGATGGTAAATTTATGGGATTGTTTAATTTGTTAACGGACTTATCATTCAATGTGAGCCTTTATTCCTTTAACCTACCATAAAACAATTATGGAAAATCAATTACAGTTTAAATGTAATGAAGACTAAAATTGGGATTTAGGAACGACGATGCAACAATTCTTATTATTTAAAAAAAAAAAAAAAAAAAACTTCTTAAAGGGTTATTTGCCAATCGAAAATGTAACCATAATCAATTAATTTCATTAACTTTTTAAAATTTTCAAACTCCAGTATTAATAAGTCAGTAATAGCCTCCTTGCGGAAAACTCATAGAATCGAACCCGATGGTGGGGTATTGACTATTTAGACTATAACTGATAGAGAAAGTATATTGAATAGATACTACACTATAATAGAGTCCATAGTACTCAAAAAGTCATTAATAACCTATATATCATTAGTTTCAAATTAAATTTAAAAAATAATCCTCACAAAATTTAAATTCCAAAGTCTAATATTCTATCATTGGAACAATTCAAAACATTACTACTACACAAGTATATGAAAATATAGTTCCATTTTTACTATTAGCTACAACTCAATACAAAATAAATTTAGGTAACATAGCATTTTATTCATGGCTTTAAACCCTACTAGATTCAAATCCACTTACCATATATATTTTTAACTATATTTTTGCGCATTGGAATAGGATTCAAATTACAAATTAATGAAAAAAAAGAATATTCCGTTATAAAATTTTACTTTTGCTTCTTAGAATGAAAAATGAGTATGAAAACATTTTTTTTTTTTTTAAATGTTAGCTCTCAGTTTTTAACTCTAACACATACATAGTTACATACACATATTTCAATTCCCGTTCACTACGAGTAGATAGATTATTATTTTCGTACAAGAAGATCACAACTTTAGTTCTTGCCAACATCCTCTCGGTCGAGCTCATGCAAATAGTCTTCCTAGTACAATGTACATCTCCTATGTAGTTTGCAAGTTATTATACAAGAGCAATATTTACACAGTGCACATTTTCAGATAGTAATTATGTGTTTCTCTGGTCATTTAAAAAAAAAACTAAAACTTATTCCATTATATTTATAAGTATTTGATCCTAATTCTATGGTTGACGTACTCCAATATATTCCAACCAACCCCCCCTCCCCACTCCATTTTATTGATTTAATTGTTTATTATATATAATTATTTGTTTCAGATTGGTAGAAGTGAATGCTGTGATGTAACGATCGATAATGTTGACTCCGAAAGCGTTGTGATCAAAACTAGAAGATGCATGGCAGATGACATCATTGCTTGATTCTTGAGGCCAGTGACAGACCCAGAAAATCATCTGAGTGAGAGCGAATATTAAATGATGTTAGAAATGTCAATAACAAAATATCAAACAACCATAATAATAAGGTTAAAATACAAAATACATTATAAATTACAATATATTTATGAAAAAATATGAAACATAATCAATTAGATAAAATAATTTGAATAACAATATATTCATAAATACTTTTAAATTTTAATTTCTTTTAGTTAAATCAATTTTTCTAAATTAATTCGAATACAATAAAGTATATTATAAACTTGTATATTACATTAATTAAATGACTTATAAAAACTAGACTAAAAGAGTATTTAATTTGTTAATTAAATTATTCATAAAAAGTAGACTAAAAATATTTAATTTATCTTGTCTTGTGAAGAAATGAAAGAGGAAGATAATTATAAGTGGTGCTAATGAGATTTGAACCCATGACATAAGCCGTTTACAACATAAAATTTAGAGTTCAACTAACTAAGCTACTCAAATTATTGACATTTTTAACATAAATATTGATTTTATATAATATTTCATGCTATATATGTGTACATATACATACATATATATAAAGAGATGGGGTAAGGGAGTGGGGGCAGCTGCCCCCACTGCCCCACACTGGGTCCGCTACTGCTTGAGGCATGCATGCATGTTTCTTCCAAACAAAATGTATAAATCGAGAATAAAAAATGCTCCAAAAAATTACGTTAAATATAATGTAATGTTTATGTTGATTTCGATCTTTTGATCAAGACCTTAGAGAAATGTTGTTTTTTTTTTTTTTTTTCTTTAAGTCGTGAAATTTCATCTAATGAAAAAATCGAACGTTTAAAATGAATAAAAGTAAGTAAGACGGGTTAACCCTCTCTCTGCAAACCACCGTCAACTGCAAAAAAAAAAACCTCTCTGCCTCTCTGTCCTCTCAAACCTCCCCCCAAACCTCGCCGTTCCTTCGTAGTGTGACCATCAGCCTCTGGCCGACTCTATCCTTGGCCAACGGTTTCATACTTCCGTAGTTCCTTTTTGTTTTGTTTTTTAGTTTCTCAACTTCCACCATCAGATCTAATCAAGAAGCCCCGCACCATTGTCAACACTTATTTTTCAACAAAAAAGGAAAAGAAGGTTTTGTGTCAGTGTTCTTTTCTTGAATCTAGGTAAGGAAGACTTTGAGTTCTGAAAAAGGACAATAAGTTTTGTGTTTTGATAAGGACAAGAAGGCGTGGTGTTTTCTTGACAGAAGAAGGCGTGGAGTTCTGTTTTTTTATCTAAAAATCTGTATTTTTCACTTTTCCATAAGTTATTTTGACAAGTTATTTCCTCTCGCTTCTTTGGCGTGTTATTCCCTCTCGTTTTCTTTGGCGAGGTTTTTTTTTTTTTTTTTTTTTTTTTTTTTTGTTTATCTCATCCTGAGCAACAAAATGCAGTTCAGATTAATGAAGATATTGTCTATGGACAGAATAGCTGCAATAGTTACTCAGGTGGTATGCAAGACTTCTCAAATAGAGTTAGTCTTGGATAGCCGGATCATTAACATCAAAGAAGCTTCAGGTTCCTCCAATGAATTCAGCTTCAATCGTGTTAACACAGTTTGCGATTCAAGTTTCTTTTAGCATTGCTAGAAAAATTATTTCTATATTTGACTGTAAAGAATGTCTTATCATTCTATCGATCTTTGTTGTAACTGTTTCAACTTATGATTAATGAACTAGCTCTTTATTTTCAAAAAAAAAAAAAAAAAAAAGTATGACAGACTGTTATACATATTTTCAAATATTTATCACCAAATTAAACAAGGGAAAAAACTTTTCTTTTTGTTAGTGTTAATTACTTTTATATATATATATATATATATATATATATATATATATATATATATATAGGGTCCGATTCAAATGAGGATCCTTGGGTGAGAACGTGAAAACTAATCTAGATCATTAAATCAAAATGATGCACGATTGGAATTAAAAGGAACAAATCACATGGATTAAAGAAACAAATTCGTTTAAAATATTAAAATACATATAAAGTTAGGATAAATCAGTCCTATTAGAAGATGTACATTACTATACAAAATGTCGTGCATTCCTACCGAGTGTTGTGCATCGATAACTCTCTAATTGTGCATTCAAACATCACCAAAAAATCTCACAGTGGACATCTCAATGTCCTACCGTATAACAATTGAACCGATTGTGTAACAGATTGTCAAATAAAACTGAAGTATAACTAAAATGATACAACATTGATCGTTTTGCTTTATGGTCTATGCTGCTATATGGTCCACAGTAAAATTTGCTCTAGAGTAACGGCAATGAATGTTCGAAACTATTTGCAAGAGTTGTCTTTCTGTTTTCTCTTTGGAGTCTCCAAAACCCTATGCTATCAGTGGCATTACAGTGGGACATAAAGTTGTCATTTACCCAGTAGAGACACGGGGCGATTGTGTCACAGACATAACAATAACACTGAAATCAAGAAACGAGCAATCAACTAACATTGTAATAGAGTCAGTAGCATTTAAAAAAAAAAAAACTAACATTCTGCAGATGGATGGACACAGCCAGAGAGAGTCCATGAAGGGAAATACTCACCTTGTCGCAGTGGGATTCATGTGGTGTTGTGGCAAAAGGAAATTTGACACAAAGATGGCGAGGATGGGGATAATCTCTACAAGCAACGACCTATGAAATGGAAGGAAAACTAACCATCATATCTGTCACTTTACTGAAATGAGATTCAGAAAACAGTATTGCTTCATTGAAATCTCTAAATTAATGCATAACAGCATAAGTAACACAAATTTTTCCATATAGGCTTTCTAACTTAACCAGTGCAGACACTTTATTTACTTGCCTATGTAGCCATGGTACAGCAAATCAAGGAACAAAGCATAGGGGTATGCCCAGCCAAGATGGCAAGAGATCCACGCTTGTAACTACAAGGTCATGAGTTCGAATCCTTGCCCCTTTGGTTTGAGCTGTCCTGTTATGGGTAACCTAGACTGGTTTAATTCTTGCCCACTTGGTTTGAGCCAGTCAGCTATGGGTAACCTACTTCCTTATGGTCCTTTTTGCCAGTTAGGGTCGGGGTTTACCCACGTTTGTAATCACAAAGTCACGAGTTCGAATTCTTGCCCCTTTGGTTTGAGCCAGTCAACTATGGGTAACCGAAGCTGGTTTACTTATGTTCCTTTGCCGGCTAGAGTCATAAGACAGTTCTACCTACCCCCGAAAGGGTTGTGGGGTTTCCCTAGTCATCCAAAAAAGGAACAAAGCATATGGAATTTTTTTTTTCTTTTAAAACAACCATCATTTCATGATTAAATAGATAAGTATAGCTGCTCTTTCTTCTCCTTGAGATGCCACTATAAACCTAGCTCCATCTCCACTTCCTACTACTAATTTATGTTTGTCCTAATCATGTACTGCATTTGGATTTCTATATATATAAGCAAATTCAGGAAGGGAATAGGTTTCAGTACCTGCCCCTTTTCACTAACCACAAGCAGATCATCAGAATCATTCTCCACTTTTTCATTCACCACTTTCACTGGCTTATCAGGGTCTTCCTCCAAAATCACACAATCATCAGAACTATCATCCCAACTTCTCCCCCCTCTGCAGCAGCCAGCATCAACGTTGGTCTCTCCGGAACCCTCTTCTTCATCTGCACTTACATAGCATATAACTGGTTATGGATCATCCATAATCACAATGTACAAACAGGGTTATTCATAAAATTTCTGGTTTCAAAGATGAAAAAAAAAGGCATTGCTAGATGATAAAAAAAATGGCATTCTGTCTGAGACTAGGGAAATCGCCCTGGGACCTAAAAAGACTTTTCAAGAAAAAGAGTTTTGGGCTGTTGGTTAAAGCAAGTCCTTCCCCATTCCCCTTTACACTAAAGACTAAACAGTATGTCAAGTCAATGATTTTAGACCAAAGTGTATATTGTGAATTAATATTTTTCCGGTACAATGTAAAATAACCCATAAATATTCATACCTGGCTGTGCATAAGTCACTGTATAGATCCTTCATTTATTTTTCCATACTCATAATAAATAATTTGCAAAAAATATAACTCATCATTAGTTGTTGGTTAGATTACAATAATACACCCTTGCAAATTAATGTGGAAGCTGTCAAATTCTGGACAAAACCAAATCGTGAATGTCAAGAATTTTCCATTGTTAAATAAATGATATCAAAATTTGCAAACCTAGGGGGCTGAGATTTCTACATAAAGCTAGTTTAACAAGCCCTTCAACTATTCTTTGAAGGTTGAAGTTTTTCTACATAATGTTTAGAAAGGATAAGAAACATCCTGAATTCTCTGAATAAGGACTAATAAAAAGCAGTCTTTTAATCTGTAATCGCTAAACAGTTACATGACTGGAATCAATAAGATGACAATGGCGAAGTGAGTTGAGGATTGAGTGGAAGCAATTAGTTTTACTTAAGAATCCAAACTGGAGGAAGATGAGGACCCCTAGAAGTCTTCAAAGCTTTTGATGGAGATTTAACATCACGAGTTAGATGATGTTGCTAGAAGCCCATGTGGGATGGATTCCACAGCAATGAGTTTGGAGTTGTTTGAGAAATTGTGTGATGTATGACAATCACCTTCTCTCTGTTGGAACTGAGTTATGCTTTGGGATAAATATCAGATTATTTGAGTGCTTTGGGCCTCCTGTGCACCTATGTACAATGATAAAGACACTGGTTGCTTTTATATGCCTTTTTTGAGAAGGCACTCCAATGGCTAAGTTAGATTCTGAAGATTGTGAAAGGGTTCCAAAGTAGCAACCAAGATGCTAAGTTGCTTGAAGTGCATGAGAGAGTGAATATAGAGTCTGGGAGTATCCGATGCTAACTTAATATAATCATTGTGGACTGATTAAAGTTGTGGTGGAAAGACAACTTCAAGGCCTACAACTTCTAGAAGAAACCCATGCCCAAATCAGAGTTAAAGACTGTGAAGAAGGGCCTAAAACTCAGAGATTTCTTGAAGTCAAGAAGAGAGGGTAGGGAATTAAACTCAGAAGGAACTTTACTCAATGGGCATAGCTTGAAACCCAGAAGACAAAATAAGGCAATTCAAAAGGATAGCAAGCTAAAAGAACCACAAGTTTCATGAAGACAAGAAACCCAAATTTTACCAATAGCAAGGTCAAAATTGGGTCAAAAGTCTCTCCTCATCACTGATTTGAGAAACTGTATCCAAGTTTCCTAAAGTGGGAATAGTTTAAAGATGCACATCATGAATCGATAACTAGTTTATAATCAAGCAAACCGAATCAAATACCTTGACAGTTTTCTGGGTGGTTTCCTTGATAGTTTCCATATCCACCTTTATTCAAATCACATCCTTTGCCTCCACCACAGCCATTTCCTTGACCACAAGAATCTAACAAGAGCAAATGATATTTTAGTAAAACAATTAGCAGTAGTTTGACTAGTTCACAATTTCAACTCCTTTCTCTGAGCAGTTAGATTTGGCCCTTCACCTTCATCGTCACTGCTGTAAACTTCAGGTGACTGTCTATATGGTTGTTGTGACAGGTAGTTATTATTATACTGTTGTCCTTGCTCAACACGAGATGGAGCTTGATACCTTATGGAATCAATTATCAGTCAGAACCAAAGAAAAGAGAGTTGTCAGTCAAAATACAAAGGAATGCAGCAAGTGTATCTTGCATGCCAAAATGTAACAAATTAAAAAGTTCATAAGCAGTTAAGCCATATTAAGAAACTTTCATTCATAACTCATAAGTGGCGATATTAAATTAAATACCAGAACAAGCAGAATAACATTGTAAAACCTAGCTCCTGTTAAGTGTTACACAAGCAAAACCATGACAGAGTTGAAATCTACTCCCTACTACTCTCTAGTTCTAAATGCTTAATCAATCAGGAGAAACGTACCCAGGAGAGTTCTTATTTAGCTCTTTTTCTGATAAGGTGATTGAAATCATGGAGACATGGAAAGTCTTCTCCACTCTGTAATAGACATCATAAACAATCATTCAAGAATCAGAATCACCTCTCTAATACTGATAGACATGTTTCGATTCAAAACAACTGAATGGCAGTAAACCATGGCCATATCATACGTCTCAAGCCCCGCTTCATCAATGGGTTCCCAAACATCTGTTATGCTTACAGAACTGATGGCAGTGTCTTGGTGCAATCCAGGAAATCTTTTCTGTAACTCAATAGTATAAGGATTAACATCTAGCATAATAGTAGAAAGGAAAGGGAAGGAAAAGAGAAGCAGGCCATGGGAGAGAGACAAAAACAATCTCAAGTAAAGAAATAAACCTTGATAAGTTCTGCAATAGTTACTGTCTTGGAAATTGCCCGACCCAGTGCTTTCAAGACAATATCTTTCGTGCGTCTCTCCTAAACAATAATATTCAAGTAAAACTCTATATAAGATACTGTTACCAGGTAATATAGCAAATAATACATTATCATCCCATCAATTCCTTTAACTAATATCCTAGTAAAACAGGCTAGCATTCAATTCAAGATTTCAAGTAGTTGATAATAACCAGATTTTACAACAAAAAGAATAGAAGATAAAACTTTTTAACTTCTCAAATCCCAGAGCCCTTTCAATTCCTCGGTTTTTCAATACTTTCTACACGTTTTTAACTAGAAAGATACTAGTTAATTACAAAAAAAATCTATTTATGATAACAATTACAGAGTATTAACTATGAAGCTTTTTGATGTGTACTGATCACTGATAATTATATTAACTGCTAATAGTGTGAGACAATTGCGACTTCAAGTGAAAGCTTCGTAAAATTGCAGTGAAATAATTTATTGATTCATCCAATACTACGCATTGGATTAATGAGAAATTCTGGCTTTGCAGTGTGAAAAAGGAGAGGAAATACCTGAAGAAGAGTGGTGGCATAGTAAACATAGTTACGGACCAAGCCGTGAGAAGTGACTCGGATCTCGTTCTCGTTTAAGAGCGATTTGAGTTTCTGTTTCTCAACCTTCCGGTATCCATCCATGGTAGCTCTGTGTTTAGTCGAAGTGGAGTGAGAAGAAGCAGTCATCCCCTCCACAGCTTTTCGCTTCTGAAACACGGAAACTTCTTTTCCCTCCACAGGGCAATCTAGCATGTTTGGTGGGATGGAAAATATATTTTTAGCACAGAATCTTGAATTATTCCGAGTAATAATATTATCTTTTGAAAGGTAATGTAAGATTTTGGAAATGTAATATTTACTTTATGAGTTTAGTTTGGACTTTGGATGTGAAATATAATATTAGAGCTAATTTTATTTTTGGTGCTATTTTTGTCATTGACTTTTAATACGATCATGGTCCTTTTATTATTGATTTTGTTCTAAATTTGATTCTTCAGTTAAATATTCATTTATGCCCTGTTTGGTAAAATGGTTGTTAGCTGATTGTGTTAATTAGAGGATATAAATAATTGATAACATTAGCTGATTGTAAAAAAATGTTTGGTAAATTAGCTGTTAGCTGATAGTTATTTGGTATAATTTCTTTTATCAAAAAGCTAATTGAAAAAAGTTGCTTTGAGTAGTTTTTTAAATTTTAGCTTTTTGAATTTTAGCCTTTTAGAGTTGCAAAAAGCTAATTAACCAAACATTTATATTAACGATATTTTAACTAAATCCAACAATTAATAGTGGTCAAATAAGTCAAAATTAGCCTATAGGCCAATTTTTTACCAAACAGGGCCTTAATAAACATTAAATTTAGGGAAAATTGTAAAAAATGCCCCTCTATAGTATGCCAATTATCAATGTCACCCCTGAATTATGAGTGATGTAAATGTTGCCCCTCAATTATCAAAACGGTACACATATAGCCCCTCCCGTAATAGACATGTGGTTCCCCGTTAGTGTACGACACCGTTACGTCGGAGTAAATATATAATATAGTTTTTTTTTTCCTCCCTCGATTCGAAGTACCAGCGACGGACAACGGTGGGGAACCACAAGTCCGTTATGGGAGGGGCTATATGTGCACCATTTTGATAATTGAGGGGCAACAATTACACCACTCATAATTCAAGGGTGACATTGATAATTGACATATTATAGAGGGACATTTTTTACAATTTTCCCTTAAATTTAAGACTAATAATGTAAACATTAGTTTGTTGTTAGGATGGACAAATTATGTTCATAAATTTAATACATTTAGTTCATCATTGTGAAGAACTAAAATTTTTACATTATTACCCTTAAATTTAATATTTATTCAAATGATATTTAACTAGAGGACCAAATTTGAAAAAGATCAATATTCAAGGGATCACTTATAGTTAAATTGAAAGTTGAATACAAAAATTGGTAAAGATCAATAGTCAGGACTATTTATGGTCCAATTGAAAGTCCAAAGATAAAAATTGGTAAATGATGATAGTCAAGGGACCATTTCTGGAATTAACTTCGATTTAAAAACAATCAACTAAGAGCATCCACAATAGAAGAGAAAGTGGAGTTATTTCATAATTAATTCTCTCAAGGTGAAGAGCAAAGTTGATGTAGGAGGAAAATAATTGGCCAGCAAATGCAAAAATAATGTCAGAAATTTTTTTTTTTTTTTTTAAAGGAAAGGATGTGCACGTTTCACGCACAGCTGGGCAAAAGTAGTGCACGTGCCCGGTGGTGCGTCAGGCATGCTTGACAGCATCAATTATTATTATTATTATTTTAAATTCAATTTTGTTTTTTTTTTCTCCCTTTTTTCTTTCCCCTCCCATCTTCTTTTTTCTAATCAGTCTTACATTTTCCCCTCTAATATCCCAACTGATAATGATGCTCTAAGAGCTTGAACTTGAGAAACAAGATTACTTGGGAAAATGATACTTTTTTTACCCTAAATGGCTAAATTCAAAGCTTATAGCACTTTTTCCTTTATGAATTATTCATGTATTCATATTAGACCTCTCAATTATTCTAAAAGTGGTCATTTTTTCCCCTTATACATTAAATGGACATTTTTATCCTTAAAATAATATTTCATTCATTTTCCTCTCCAACAAATTATTGTTTATGCCGACTGACTACGGTTCCTTTCAAACCGAACCGTACACAGTAACAACCAAACTGAAAGGTTCCAATTACAATTTAGAACTGGAACTCAGTATCTGGGTTTTAGTTTATTAAAGCTACTACTAGTTCTACTTTCTTTTCTGCTTTTGGGTTATTAGTGGGTGATGTTAAAGAATTGACATTTGAAATATCTGATGTAGAATTCTACTTTGTCAAGAGATCTGCGAATCGTGTCGCCCACGTTGTTGCCCGGGAGGCCGTTTCTGAGTTAGGTTGCAGGAAATGTTTAGATATCCCACCCCCTATCTTGTTCATTGTCTTTCTGATGACTTAATGAATTAAGTTGTTTCTTTCAAAAATCATAAATTGAGATTGCCAATTTCAGTTATGAACCGAAAAAAAAATTACATTAATTTTTGAATTTAGATTATTTTAAAAACAAAAAAATAGAATTAAAAAAAAAAAAGTTTGAACCTGTGGTTCAAATGGGATCCGAAACTGTGAACCAACCGTTCGAAATCGAAACATAATCCCGATCATATCTACTTATATGTAACAATTAGAATAAATGTGAAAAAGAACATGCACTATTTACAAATATTATGATTATAACTTTAAACTAATGTTAGTAGTTGTTCCTACTTCGAACCGTCAGTTTACAATTTTGGATCCAGTTTGAGCCACTAGTTCAAACATTTTTTAAAAAATTCTATTTTCTATTGTAAAATACTAAATTTAAAAGTTAATATATTTTGTTCAATTCACAATTTTAATAAATTGAAATTTAAATATTGGGATCCAATACTAAAATGTAACCCAAACCTTTCGATTCAGTTGCTATATATATAAGAGATATTTTTAGAGAATAAAAATAAATGAAATATTTATTTTAAGGACAAAAATGTTAAAATGTCAATTTAACATATCAAAGAAAAAATTGACACTTTTAAAGAAATTGAAAGGACTAATGTAGATACATAAATAATTTAGAGGAAAAATGCTATAAGCTATGACGGATCTACAATAGTGGCAACTGTCCCCACTCCCCCACCTCACCCCATACATAACTCTTGTATGTATATATGTATATATACTTATATAGTACAAATTTTAAATAAGTATAATAAAATAGATAAAAGTTAACAAGAGATGGTTAGGTTAGCTAGCAAGGCATGCGTTTAATCATCGGACATGCCAGGATTTGAATCCTAATGCTTATTTCAGCACATGATTTGAGATCTCACACACAATACATATAATAAGTTAATATAAAATATTGTCTGCTAAACCATTGAGTTACCATGAACAGCATCCTCCTCTCACATGCTCTGTCGGATCGGAATGTGGAGGGTCCTTAGGATTGGGGATTCAACCTTTTGGGAGAAGCTAATATAAAATATTATAAATATTTTATAATAATTAGAATTAAAATGGAAAAAAACAATAAATATTCAATGGGAATCTTAGATGAAGAATAAACTGTAAAATGTTGGACCGTGACTTACCCAAATTATGGGTAATTACCAAAATGCTGGGTTACTGTAAAATGTTGGACCGTGACTTATCCAAATTATGGGTAATTACCAAAATGCTGGGAGCGGGGGCGGAAACAGGGGCAGATCCAAAAATCTTCACCAGGGGAGACAAAAGATTAAAATCTAATGAAATATTTAAAATAAAAATAAAAATTTAGAGATTGAGTCACAAATATTGTTAACTATGATGAAAATTAAAATACATCAAAATGAAATAAAAAATATTCGCCAAATACCTTGTGCTTAGATAGTATGTAGTGACCTTTCTCATGTGGGAAGGTCATGGGATTGAGCCTCAATGGAGGCGTTGTTGATTCTTTGTGCTTCATTAGGTTGAGCCTCAGTTGAGAAAGTATATGTCACAGTGGAGGCGTTGTTGACTCTTTGTGCTTCATTAGGTTGCGAAAGTATGCGCCTTAGTGGAGGCGTTGTTGGTTCTTTGTGTTTCATTAGGTTGAGAAAGTATGCGCCTTAGTGGAGGCGTTGTTGACTCTTTGTGCTTCATTAGGTTGAGAAAGTATATTTGAACAGATACTACAATGTAATAGAGTCAGTAGCCATTCAAAACAAAATATAAGATATAATTAATTTGAATAGAAAACATATTATAAATCACTAATATCACTATTAATATTAAAAAATAATGTTACAAATAAAAAATTCAATTCAAATTAATATCAATATGAGTTCATGCTTGTAGTATTTGAACTCATAACATTTAGGGGGTGTTTGGCTAATGGAAAGTTAGATTACCTTAGAGAATGTTAGATTAGCGAAAAATATGTATATAAGACAACATAATATGACAAATTGATTAAAATGTCAAAAGCTCAAAATTAGTAATAAGGCAAGGGAATGTGAGATTACTTAAAAAATTGAAGGTATCTCACATTCCGTTCCCATAGCTAAAAACTTGATGTGGAGGTTATGTGACATTTCTTGAGAAAATTACATAACTTGAACCAAACATGAAAATTTTATATTCCCAAACAAATATAACTTAATTATCTTATATAACTTAAACCAAACACCCTTAAAATTAAATACATTACCATCTAAGCTAACTTATCCTTTGGTTATATTTATGTAAATTTAACATTTATAAGTTAACTATGTATATAAGGACCTATACATACAATATATATATAAATGGGATGGGATGGGGGAGTGGGGCAGCTGTCCTCACTGCCCGCATTGTGGCTCCACCACCGGCGGAAATGATGGCAGCCGTGGTTCCCAGACAAAGAACGATGCAACATCAAAATCTATTCCAACTTTATAAAACACTTGAGTGAGTTCAGTAGTTTCTATTAGCAACAATAAAAAAAAGCATAGTGATAAGAACATTCATCTACTATACGTACATATTGGCAATCTTGTGATTAATACAATCATTCAGTAAAATACTTGTACTATTATAAACATTTCTAGACCAAGATTCCAAGTCTTCAGACTTTCTGGGGCAAAAGAGTTGGGGTTTAACAAGTTCCAATGGACTTTTTCCAGTAAAATTTCCTTGTGTTCTAGCCATTTAGGACCCTAAATGAAGTTACAAGTTTTCTATCCATGAGCCAACCCACTAACCTGGAATAGGCACAAGGAAAGCGCAATAGACTTATAGACTGTCCAGCCCACAAAAATGAAATGGTTCCCCCCTCATAACCAGTCATCCATACTATCTTTTCATCTTTGGAAAATTTACCAAGAGCTAACCTAACAGTCATAATGATCCTCTTATCCTATTACACTTACTTTGAAAGCAACTCATGGCCTCCATGTCTTCCCGTTCTTTTTGCTTTTGGAGACGAACAACGTTGTATGGGGATTAGAGAGAGTTTGAGAATTCATATCTGTATTGGCAGGGCCAAGGTTTAGGTTATTGAACTCACTAGCAATGTGGCGGGAGGTTAAAGTAGGACTTGTAGAAGAAGAGTTAGTGTTCTTGTGCTGCAAATGATGAGGGCTACGGTTTTGGGGATTCACGAGAGCCGGCATTCTCAGGTCACCATTTTGTCTACCTCCAGGCTGTTCACGACTTGCTGGTTGCAGCACAATATTTGGCATTTCACCATTCCTCGACAAGGAAGAGGCGAGTAATGTGTCACTAGGCACCTGATTCTGTGTCACAGAATCGGACACTGGGGGACGCAAAGGAAGAGATTGGTTTGGCTCAACCTTCTCATCGCTTTTCTTTCTGTTCTCTCTTTGGTTTCTCCAAACCCACATTTTATCGGTGGCATTACAGTGGGTCAAAGCGTCGTCCTTTGTCCAGTATAGACAAGGAGCAAGTGTGTCACAAACATAACAATGGCACTGAAAATCAAGAAATGAGCAATAATCAAAGTATACTAGCAGCATTCTGGAAAAGGAAGGATACAAGCAGAGACAGTCTATGAAGGAAATAGCTAGTTACCTTGTCACAGTGAGATTCGTGTGGCGTTGTGGCAAATGGAAATTTAACGCAAAGATGCCGGGGATGGGGATAGTCTCTACAAGCAACCTACAAAGTGCACAATCATATATACAATACCAGGAATATTCATAAGTCATAGCCACATTGGTGAAATGAGATTCAACAAATAGTATTTGCATCATTAAAATACCCAAATTAATGCATAGCAAGAACTCAACAAACAACTGTTTCCATATAGGTTCTGAAACTCAACCCATACATATAGAAGATATTGAACCTACTTATATAATAGCCATGGGAACAGAAAATGAAAGAACGAAGCATCATAATTATTATTATTTTTTCTTTTTCGAATAAAACCAGCATTTCATGTTTAATAGTTAAATATATGAACTATTTCTACCATTACAAATTACAAATTCCGCTATTTTGTGTTCATCAAATTCGCACATTGACATGGATTTCTAGAATTTTCTCCTTTAATTAATGTCCACGAATTTTAGAAATGGGAATATGAATAGGTTTCAATACCTGACCCTTTTCGCTAACCACAATCAGATCATCGGAATCATCGGAATAATCGGAATCATTGCTCAATTTTTTGTTTACTACTTGCACCGGCTTGTCGGGGTCCTCCTCCAAAATCACACAGTCGTCGTACTCCAAAATCACACAGTCGTCGTCGTCGTCGTCGCTGCTATCCCAACTTTCAGTTCCTCGTCTGCGGTAGCCGGCGGGCTTGGTCTCGCCGGAACCCTCATCTTCATCTGAACTTATAATGATTATAACTGGTTCCCTGTCACCCATAATCACAATGCAGGAAGGCGTTGGAAGATGATCAATGGCGGTGGTGAGTCTGTGGAGTTGGGAAAAAGTGAAAAAAGAGAAGTGCGCCTTTGGCTTTCCACTCCAAACCTCCTTTACCACTGAATTACCTCCTTCAACCTCAAGTCGGTGGTTTTAGACCAAATTGCAAACAGAAACCAGTAAGCAACTCAATAGTGGAGGGTTTTTCTCCCTTCTCTTTTCGGACCCACCCATTCAATATTTATTGCGCACTACTCCCTATATTATTCTTAGAAAAAGTTACATTTTTCGTCTTTTAAGTTGGATAATTGTTGGATATGCTCACATTTTGTCTCTAAGTTATCATTGATGTTACAATTTTTGTCCTTTTCATGCTCACTCTTCGTCATTGAGTTATACTAAAATTGTAAATTTTGTCCCTAATTTTTATTAGTAAAAGAACGAAAAGTGCAACGCCAATGATAACTTAGGGATGAAAAGTGCAACATTAATGTTAATGATAATTTAGGGAGGAAAAGTAAGTATGACCAACACTTAAGGATAAATTCTACAATTACTCTATAATTTAGGAATGAAAAGTATAAATTTCCTTTATTATTAATTTTAGGAATAAAATTCAAATAAGCCATTGAATACGTAAAATAATGCAATTCAATAAAAATGTTTATTTGACTGTTAGTTACTAATGTGGTGGTCATCATATTAAGATAATAATTTTTATTTTATTTTAATAATTTTAAATAATAAAATTGAAAAAGAAAAAGGTAAGATCTTCGTCTCCAGGTTGTAGACGACGAAGAACCAACATTCGTCTCCGGCGACATGGAGATGAAGAGTCTCTTCGTCTCCGACCAGGGACGAAGAGCTCTTCCTCTCCGGTCGAATACGAAGAAGGTTTATCGTCCCTGGCAGGAGGCTACCAGAGACGAAGATCTTGTTTGTTTGTTTGTTTTAGTTTAGTTTAGTTTTTTTTTTTTTTAATTTTAATTTTATTATTTAAAATTATTAAAATAAAATAAAAAAATTTATTATAACATTCACCATTTTGTGTTAGGTTCGAACTTGAGACCTCTCATTAAAGGGGTCACAACTATACTGCTCGATCACAAGGCCTTTAACATTTATTATCATTTCTAATTTCTAATACTTATTATAATTTTATTTATTTTATACTTTAATTAAAATTGATAAATGTAAAACAAAAATATAAAAAAATGAAAATTTTACCCCTTTTCATATTTATTATTTATTGGTCAAATCAATTCTTTTTCTTTCTTTATTTATTTTATTATTTTAAAATTATCTTTTTGTATTTAACAATATTTTTAAATATTTTTTTGATAATAATTTTTAAATATTTAAATCATATATATTAATACTAAATTTAATATTAAGAAAATTTGAATCGTAAATACTAAACTTGATGGGAAGTTTTTAAATGAGTTAATTACCAAAATGGTCCCTTGACTATAGTGAAATTATTAATTTGGTCATCGACTATTTTTTTGACCAATTAAGTCTTTAATTTTAAAAATATTAACCAATTTGGTCCTCCGTTAGTTTTTCCGTTAGACTTCCATTAGCTTGGGACCAAATTGGTAATTTTTCTATAGTCAAGGGACAATTTCAGTAATTAACTTTAGGTGTGGGCAATTCGATTCGGTTTTCCGAACTAAACCGTACCGAACGATTCGGTTAAAAACTGATTGAAAATACTGTTTGATTTTATTTAAAATATAATAATAATAATAATAATAATAATAATAATAATAATAATAATAATAATAAAGAAGTAAATCCAAGTCCCTTGATGCATCATTTACCGTTCAACTGAACCGTATTTCATTTATTATTATTATTATTATTATTAGTATTATTATTATTATTATTATTATTATTATTATTATTATTATTATTATTATTATTATTATTATTATTATTATTATTATTATTATTATTATTAAATCAAACAATATTTCCAATAAGTTTTTAACCGAATCGTTCGGTACGGTGAATTACTTTAATGTTCGCCTGTTCGGTACGATTTAGTTCGGAAAAAAACGAATCAAATTGCCCACACGTAAGGTTAATTACTGAAATGGTCCATTGGCTATAGAAAAATTACCAATTTAGTCCCAAGTTAACGGAAGTCTAATGACAAAATTAACGGAAGACCAAATTGGTTAAGATTTTTAAAGTTGAGGACTTAATCGGTCAAAAAAAAAAAATAATCGAGAACCAAATTGATAATTTCACTATAATCAAGGGACCATTTTGATAATTAACTCTTTCTAAATTGGTAGAGAGTGAAGCCGCGCTTGAGAAATGCTACCACAGAAGAAGCAAACAAGAAAATATGAAAAATCTAAAAATCTTTCGTCCACTTTGTAATTTTTTTATACATTCAATTTTAATAAAATTCTTTTGCATTCGAGCATTTTTCTTACTCAAGTGTGTACACCTTCATTTTGCTTTATATTACTGAGAAAATGTACTTCAGTTGGACTTGAAATGAACATAGAGTTTATTTTATTAAGCTTTGTTTCCTAATTAAATGTTCAAGGGTAATTTGCATTTGATCATAATGGATATGATACTACTCGTATTAATGAGAACATGTCATTATGGTTGGTGTTTTTTTTGTTCTTGGGTTGTAGTAGTGTCTGCACCAAGGGGGAGAATGTAATGCTTTCCTATTAATTATTATTATTATAACATTAGGATAAGTTATAATAATACTAAGTGTTTGTTAATTATGACAAATCGGAATCGCTTGAGACGTGGCTTAACAGATAATGAGAACTGTTGGCACTGTGGAGTGATTGCTGAAGACTCCGATCATGTTCTTCGCTTCTGCCCAGTTGCAGAGGATGTCTGGAAAGCTACGCTACCGCAGCTGTATGAAAGCTCTCGACATCTGCCCCTAGTTGCTTGGTTGGATGAAGGTTTCTCGGCAAGAGGTGGTGGAAGAAGGCCATGCAATGATAATGTTACCTTTGCTATCATCCTATGGTGGATGTGGAAATGGCGCAATGAGGCCATCTTCAAGGGCACAGTTAAACCATTGAAATCTAAAGTCTCCTGGATATTTTCCCAGTCAGATGAGATTAATGCTGCCTACTTAAGAACGAAGGGTTTGAAGGTTATCGATAACCCCATGGCATGGAAGCTGCTTTGCTGGGCCAAACCTCCTGATGATCTTGTCAAACTAAATATCGATGGAGCTGTTGCCACGCACTCACATCTCGCAGGCTGTGGTGGTATAATAAGAGATTCTTATGGAGAGTGGAAGATGGGTTTCATGGCTAAGCTTGGCATCTGCACTCCCCTTGAGACTGAAGCATGGGCGATTTTGAAAGGAGTCTAATTTGCCTCTGCTCATGGCTTTAAAAGTATTCTCATTGAAAGCGACTCATGTGAATCTGTTGACTTCCTAAGCAGCTCTAGATCCCCAGCATTGCCGCTCATAATGTTCTTGAGGCTTGCAGAAAGGAGCTCTGTAATTTTGATTCATGGGTTCTCAATCCTATCTTTCGTGAACAAAACAGTGTGGCTGACGCTTTGGCGAAAATGGCTCTCGACCACGACTTTGGGTTACTTTCGCTGACTGATTCTCCTGATGAGATCAGAGAGCTCTTGGACGATGATATGTCTGACCTTCCTACTTGGCGCAATGTGCACGTGTCTTTGTAAAACTCCGTGTTTCCTTTTGGGTTTCCCCCTTCCTTCTTATATAAAAAAAAAATGAAGTGCAACAATAATATCTAGACTTCATTTATGATTAGGAGTTTGGTTATGAGGTGCAACAATAATAACTAGACTTCATTTATGACTAGGAATTTGTTTAGGGTTTAGAAAACCTAATGGCATACAACTACCCTATTATGGCATGTGATTATTTAAGGTCCCCCCAGTCTTCTCCTGCTTACATTTATTCATTATACACCATCTAGAGAGAGTTGTGCAAAAGTGAGAGACAAAATTGAGAGATACTCACGCAAACTCTGCAGGCAATCCAGGACCACAACTCAATCACCCTCGACTAAGAGCTAGCTATGACGTCACCCTCGATTAAGAGCTAGCTATGACGTCACCCTCGATTAAGAGCTATGACAGGAGGTTAGTGACCACTCAATCACCCTCGACTAAGAGCTATGACGTCACCCTCGATATCATTAAGAGCTATGACAGGAGGTTAGTGTTTATATTATGATCCTGATTGTCATGTATTTATGTTTCTATGTAACATAATTTGTCTACTCAATCACCCTCGACTAAGAGCTATGACGTCACCCTCGATTAAGAGCTATGATAGGAGGTTAGTGTTTATATTATGATCCTGATTGTCACGTATTTATGTTTCCATGTGACACAATTTGTCTTACAAAAACACAATCCAATCGACGAAAGGAAGGCTTGTTCGTTGTTAGGTACGACTTTATAGAACACAGACTACCAAAACAAAACAGCAAGGAAAAGTTGGACAAATTCATGATGCCTCAGGCTGAGCCTCACAAAGAGGAGGATGGTGAAAGACCAAGTTCAACACTAGTGCCCTAGAGAATTGTTGGGCGGAGGCCTGGAGGTCAAGTCTAGCACCATGTTTTTTGAAACTGTGGGAATATAACAAAATAAAGTTGGAGGTCGGTGAAGAGGCAAGCTAAGTCCAGCACTAGGTGCCTACGGAATTGTTGGGCGGAGGCCTAAAGGCCAAGTCCAACACTAGTTGCCTAGGGAATTGTAAAGGCAAGTCCAGCACCATGTTTCTCGAAAATGTGAGGATATAAGAAAATAAAATTGTGCTTTAACTACTAGTTATAGCATTTGGCGTAATTATAAGCCTTGATGCTAACATCTTTAATTAGTAAACATTTGTTTTATATTAGATTCTTGGTTTGCTCCGAGCGGTGTTAGGACTGTTTGTCAGTTTGAAGTTATTATGACTTTGTTTGATAGAATTTATTTTAGAGTTTTGATTGTTTTATTTTTGAATTGTAAAGGAGTCTAATCCTTGGGATGAAATGTAGCTTCTATTTATCATGATCTTGTTGATAACTTATAGAGAAAAATAAGCCATGCCATTGTTAATTATGCCGCCGATTTGATTCATGTATGACATCTACTTGTTATGGATGAAGCCTGCTGCTATGACAGTAGCTTCCACCATTTGAAACCCCAGCAAATGAGATACACCTACTTGCCTTTCCATT